TGTAACTGTAACTGCCAAACCAGAAATGAGACAAAGCAACACCGCAGCTCCCAGTCCCACCCACCACCAGCTTGTCTCTTCAGCCAGAAAAAAGCCGCAATCCAATCAAAGTAAGTTTTAAAAAATAGTCAGATAAATTTAACATAATTCTATTTCCATACCTTGGCCTAGGAAAACAACCATCCTTCGCACAAGAGAAGATGACCGTGTAAAGCTTACTACAATAAGTGACAGATCTGAATCCAAACACTTCTTAATATAAGCCACAGTAACAATTCAGCAGACCAGACCACTAAGCCACAGCATTTACGACTTGTAAGAAAACAGAAAACATTTCAGATTTTGAATAATAATATATTGCTGCCCTCGTAAAAAGACTGGCTAATCCACAAGTATATCTCTTTAATCATTACTTTTTTCCCTTATGAATCAATAGTAAATTATCCATTTCATATGTTTAGAAGTCAAAAGACAGATTTTAATTTTTGACTTGAAATAAAAATGCTCCTAAAACTTTAGAAATAAAGCCAGTAGCCAGATTGCTGCATGATAAAACCAAATAAGTTCTTTGCTGCTGCTGTAAAAATTTGCTTCACTGGGGGTTAGCTGGTCTTATTACAAGAGTGACTATACATTCGTCAATAAGAATAAGAAAAAACTATACTACGAGAAAAAATACTGTACTGTAAGAAATGCCAGTTGTCTATGGTCACAACCAGTGAAAGGAAACAAGAGCAACAAACCATGCAAATATTTGATCAGAGCACCCTTATACTTAAAGTAGAGCACACAACAGAGCTGTACATTACATACACAAAGTTCTTCTCACACAATCAATACCCTACAAACAATCAAGAACTGGCATATGGTTAGCAAAGCCTTGTGACACAAGTAAAACTGATGTTTACTCCACTGAAGATGAAATAAATTATTTAAAAAGCTGTGTTACCGAGCTCAGGTTATGTCCCAAAAGAAAAAAGTTTGTGCAGCTGAAGTCAAACTTAGCATGGAGTCAGAATGTCAGATAGTGAAATGTTTTCTGTCCAGAAGGAGAAATGAATACTTTTTTTTTAACAGAAAGAACGAAATACCAAAAGTTGTTCGTTTAGGCTCAGTTTCAACAAGGAGCTGTCAATTCAAAAGCTCCACACTCAGGGACGTAAACTTAGTTTTGATAGGCTTAGAATCATACAAACGAATATTGCAAGTGTAAACAATTTTTTTCTCTTGATCCCAACAAACTTAAACAACAGATGGACATCATAGCACAGAACACATTATGGGTCAGCATGATACACGCCTGCTGACCCCGTAGTAATACAGCCACCTTTTGGAGGGAAAATTTCTGAAAGTCAGGTGCAACTAAAACGCCAGAAAGGTTCTGACATTTAACCTCTTTTCCATAAAGTACTGCAAGAATATAAGATGCAAAGTTCACAAGAGAAAATCACACAAACTCTTGCCCACATGTGTGCCAACAGAAAAATCAAGATCTGATTCAGAAAATTGTCCTCAGCAAGACTTCCAGTGCTTCAGACAGCAATACAGACCCCCTACCCTGTACAATATTGTTGAAAAGTCAAATCGTGATTTTTCACACCACACAGGTAGGCCTACACTTTTTTGTTGCATCGATCCATCATATTATGTGCTTTGCAAAATAATGAGTTTGCAACTTATGGTGCCCATAATTTATAATTGCCGGCATAATAATAATATAATAAACAAATAAAATTTGTAAAAAAAAAAAATCAACAACATACAAACAACAGTTGATCCCTTTTACGCTATAACAACATTATAGGAACAACTGTCCCATCCTTAATAAATATACATTTTTTAAACTCTTTGTTTTGGTAAGTGTTTTACGGCACTTGCAACACAATAAGGTCATATAAATATAAGCGCCGAAGATTTAGAGGTGTTACAAGAGAGTAACAAACATAAAAAAAGAAGGGGGAGAGAGAAAGACGATAGATGTTTCATAGGAAAGAAGGAGCAAACCACAAACAAGGTCGAAACTTCAAGCATACCTATAGTCTGTACACATGAGACCCATCGTTGTTGGAGTACACAGCATAAGGGGATTCTTTCCACATCAAACACACCATTTATGGGGAAATACTCAAAAGATGACATATCTGAAGCCAACGAATGTACACTTACTAACCATTAGAACCCCTTTAACTTGTTTACTTGGATTGCAATAGCCAGCAAGGGTCACCAAGCATAATTGGAACAGTTAGTTTATTATCTCAGTTCCTAATGGCCTAGGATACATAGATCTTGTTTGGACATTCAGGGTTCACGAAGTTATTAGATTACATTCGTTGAAACAATTTTAAGACTGAATACAGCAGAAATTCACTGCCACCAGAATCTGGATCTCTGGTTTGACTGAGGGAAGGGCAAGATAGAATACTACGAACAGGAGTTTCATGAAAAGTGGGTTTTACTGCAAAATGTGAAAAGATCCTATTCACAGACAATCAATCTCTACTCTCAACAAAACCTTTGCAAAAGTCTTAAAAGCGGTATAGCTCTGCATTATTGGATTAAATTAGATATGGAACAGAACAAAACGTTTAGCCAAGAGCTATACAATTAGTTTCTGCCTCAAATCTGAATGAAAATATTGCTGAATATTGCACATAGTATTCAAGAATAAATAAGACAAAAAACGATTATAATAGACCCTCAGCCGTACACTAACAAGCCATAAATTGAAAAAAAAAATTTAAAAATCCAACACCAAGAAGGTATTCATTTTCTCTATCTCTGTGAACCTCTTAATAATATATAAAAAATACCGGCAGTAAAAATCCAACACAGAAAAAACATATCCATAATAACGAAAAAAATCCACCAAACAAAATACCTAAATAGTAAAAAAAAGAACACATTCTCAAAACATAAGGATTAAGGTAACTAACTAATACAATTACTAAGATCTAACTGAAGCTATTTTTCCAATATTAATAGTCAAGAATTTTATGCAAACACCCCCCCCCCCCAAAAAAAAAAACCCGATTGTCTTAAAAAAAATCTTTCAGAACTCATTCAAGAGTGTTTCTTGAGCTTCTGCAGTAAAATTCCATTTTCAAACACAAGGTAGAATGGAGACAAACAAAAATTTATGGAACAAAGTTTCAACCAATTTGTCTTGACACCATTCTCCAGTTCAGAGTTGTAGCCAATTCACTTGACAAACAGATACATTTTTACTCTAACAAGGCACAATGGCTCTCTTCTGAGACCCTCTTTCTAGGTGACATGTGCACAAGTGCCAACTAGACTTTTCGAACATGGTACCGCTTGAGTGAGTTTGGTTTAGCACCCCTTTTAACAGTCAACATGAACACAGAAAACTTATACAATTTACCATTCCGGCCTGATATCTCCTAAATTTTTCGATGTCACTTAGTAGACCTAATCTCAATTAAATAAAAATGTCAAACACATTAGTCAATCCCTGATGTGTTTGAGTGATCTGTGCCCAACTGTATAAAGTTATTCAAGAGGCAGCAGCTGTGGTGATAGGACCAAATTGAGTAGGCGGACAGCCCGGAAAAATTCCCTATGCAACCCAAGTTCAACGACATCCAAATGGGGATTTGAACCAAGGTCATCCGCACCACAGCCCAGCATGACACTGACTGAGCAAATGATGCACCTGGTACCAGTTTATTCCTCATTCAACATCATCAGAAACCATCTAAGAGGTGAAACCTCTGATTTTAACGTCCAGTTCTGATTGGACCGAGTCAAACGGGAGTGGAGCAGTGGAAACATTTCCGACAACCCAAGTGTAAGAATTCCCAATGTGCAATGTGTAACTGTTGCCTGCACCTCAGTCCAAGAAGAAACCAACAAAGTGCAGCCCCTTCCCCCCCTCCCCCCGGGTGAAAAGCAGAAATGACACACTGAATTCTCATAAAATGAAAGATATAAACTGTGATGAGGTAGCCTACAAGAAACAAAAAGTCTACATTCCACATGTCTGAGATTCCACAAACTTCTCAAAAAGTGGACACCGTATACAAATGCAAAGTGCTTACTAACAACTATGATTGCACAGTAACCTCTGGTAAATACCATAAAGCCCTACATTTAAAACACAAAGTCTTCTTTAGAAATGGGATCTCCAGACAACAGTTGCAGAGCACATCTCAAGTCTCGTTCTCATGAAAGAGCCCAAGATTTTGAGAATTAACACAATTTTCATCTTCAAGAATTAATAACTGTCAGAAATGGGTTTGAGTGAGAGACAAACCGGACAGGGAGTAAGGCACAATTTTCATGGACAAGAATCTTTTATGCCAAGAATAACTCTTTTCCTCAAAGACAAATATCTAAAAATACAAAAGTGCTGGGTGTCTAAAAAAAAAGACCCATTTAAACTGCAATAACTCGGTTATCTTCAATCCAATTCTAATAATACTTCGCAGTAGCAAAATTAAACCATGGCACATTACATTTGTCAATATGAAAAAATTAAATCCATTTGTTAGATAAATATCGAATTAAAACATTTTAAACCAAAATTGACTGAAACGCAAAACTTTGCAACTTCTTAAAAACCAGCCATTTACGTGTCACTGAGCAGTAGGCCTAGAATCAGGCACTCAATTTTTGGGCATGTGTAGTTATTGTCATCATCTAAAAGCTTCTTCATTTGCCTTGCTTTCAATTTTTAAAAATGCCCATCTATCTTGGCTAAAAACCGAGATATGTTTGCGATAGAAGGAGGTGGTATTGCCTGGGTTTAGTGGTAAAATTAGTGAGAAAATGGCCGCCAAAGTTTGGTAACTTCAATAGCTTGAGAGTCTTTGAAAATTGAAAAATTACATATTTATTTTATGCCTTTAATCAACGTTTTTCAGTGAAATTCAAATGGAAATGTGTTTTTATATGGATATTAAAGGTGCTGAGCCAAAAAACAAAAATTTAATAAAAATTACAAGGCGGAAAAGTTCCGGTATCTTTTGATTTCATTATTCTCGTAACTGAACCCTTATAAGAAGTAAAATTGTGTTTTACCCTATATTGATGTAAATTTTAAAAACGTGATATTTATCAAACACATTGATTGATTTTCTTCATATTTACAGACGCGACGTCCGCAGGGTTGAACTTTATTTGTTTGAATTTTGGTTGAAACTGGTGTAGAGATGACCGAGTTATTACCCTTTAAGTGAGTCCTCCTTTTTTTAGACACCCTGTATAAGAAGAACTTTCCCCAGAACAAAAGCTATAAACGTCTTTCTGAACATGAACATTTGTCCAGGATACAAAAAACACATTTTGCAGGCAATATTCTTGAACAAAATGACAAAAATCTAAGTTTGAATTTTTAAAGTCAAGACATGATAATTCAGAAACGTTTCATAAAAAAATACCAGGAACTGTGTTTCAACCAAAAAATTATAAAAAAGTATTTTTGAAGTGTACTCCAGAACACCTTTTATAACAACACTGGTTTGAAGTGTGATGAAAAATATTTTGAATGCAATATTCAGTGATAATAAGAATATGTTTTTAAATTGTAAGAGAAATAAATGTGGAGAACAAATTTTAACAAACAATCGCCCAACGTAGTTTTTCATGGGAACAGTAAAAGAAATGCCTACACACTCCAGTCGACCCTGAAGCTTTGGCGAGCCTCAGACTGAAAACTGCGCTGTCACCTCCCAAAACATGGTCACTTTGGTAAATTAAATAACATTCAAAACTCCTACATTAAGCAAACTAGCTCATAGGGTGCAACTTCTGTCCTTGTTTGTTTGAGTAAATAGAAGCACATCAACACAATAAAGGCCGTTTCGTACCAGGGAAAAGTAAGAGAGACAGTCAGAAACAACACAGGGAAAATAAAGAAGTGGAACCTAACAGTGGCGCCCTCTAACTTCTGTCCTCGGCTGTTCCTTTGTAACAGATTTCATCTTCAGCACTGGCATTCAGTTGTCAATGAAGATATTTCTTCATCAGGACAAAACTTGATGGCTTTTGATATAGTTCCTTTACTTTCACTGGTGATAATATGAAAGGTAGTTCCCTTGTCTTGCAATTCAATTTATATCAAGTAGGTGTGGAGCAAAGGTCTTTAATTTTTTTAAAACCCGAAAGGCGTGAGACAGTTTTCAAAGTTAAAACATAGCAAACAACCAAGCTCTCATATTTCTGAAAGTAAAATGTAAAAAATGATCCTTTGCCTTTTGAGAGAAAACCTCCAAGTAAAAACTTGAACAGTGACCTTGAAATAACAACTAACATTTACAACAGTGACAACATCACTGACAAAAAATGAGATTTGTGAAATATGAACCTACAATAGTACAGGTATGTATTTTTCAACTGTGTGTGATGTGCAACTTTATCTGTGGGACATTTAATGAAATATGAAATTTTAAAAACTGAAAAAAAAAACCCTCCAGAAAGATAAACCTAAACCACAGGCATAAAAAATAAATTGCAAAATAGATGTTGCGTTAAACCTGTCATCTTTCTCTCTTCCAATCTTATGTAATTGTTTTGTTGATTCTTATAACATTATTACCATATCAGAACCCCAAAACCAACCAAACTGCAAGTAAAGTTTAGACATTGGTCGAAAAAAAGAATAAAAGAAAAAGAAAAACGTTCTCACTTGAGCATAAAAACATCATGGACTTCAACCTGATACGCAGCTAATAATTGAAATGGAATGCACCATAAATAAAGTTATAAGAGTCAAAAGTTGTGCTAGCCATTGATAAACAAAAACTCCCGGCCCCATAAACATTAGTGAGAGGAGTTTTTAACTGGTGACTTTACTCTACCATGTCAAGAACATGTGACCAAACTACTGTAGCTCGAGGTAGGATTTTCTTTATCAGGGAGAAATATGGCAGTACACCACAGGATGCCTCTGGCATAAAAACGGAAAACCAGTATCTTAAAAAAAACAACCCAACCAAAACATACACTTGCAATAGGTATCATGAGGGAGATGCAGTGTGTGAATACATTAGTTGTTTTTTTTTGTGTTCCGTCTTTTTGACACATGATAGTTTGGTCCACTACCATCTTGACGTAAAGAGATATCAACACATCACGACATTTGACAGAGACATCGGTCTCAGCAAAATCTAGCAAAGACAATTACCGTTCGCACATTTTTAATCATTGACAGAAACTAGCAACCCCAACTATCTATTACACTCTCAAATGCCAAAATGGTATAATGCAAAGAAACCCATGTCAAAATATACCCAAGCTTAACCAGATACCAGATAAAGCTAGAATAAATTTGACAGCAGGGTTAGAATCAGCTTCAGGTATTATTGAATAAACATTGGCTGCTAGGAATGACCACATTTTACTTAATTCATTTTAACTGCTATGTTGGAAAGCTTTTTAGAATATATAATATCATATACTGTTCACTAAGTTTATGGAGACACGACAAAACAGACCAATACTTTGTATTATTCTGTTTCGTATTTCATGCTCAGTATGAAGTGCACATATTTCTCATACAGCTAGCATATATATATATATCTATATTATTTCTAATATGTATATTTATATATATCCATTCCTACAGATGGCTATTTCGTTGATAATTGGATAATTTATGAGGTTCTCAGAAAAAGGGAAACTCAGACAACCTTCTAAAACCAAAATAAAACCTGAAAAACTCAAACAGTTTACAAACTTTCCAGACTGACAACAAATAAAATAATCTCAGTAAAAGTAAGAACATTTGTGGTGAGTCTTGTACATAAATCAGTTCCCAGTCGTTGAATCGATTGTGTGACCTGGTACATCCACAACAGTGATGAAGGACGAACCCTCCTCTTCTTCAAGATCCATCCCTTCCACCTCCTGAACAAAGAAACAAAAGGGGAAATTCAGTGACACATTCACAAAGCCACCTAACTTGACTCAGTTTAAACTGGAGGCATTCATGTTGAACTAGAGGCATTAATGTGGAAAGAAATTTACTGGTTAAGTTATGAAAAACAACAAATTGTCAAAAAGCACTGTTCCTCAGGAGTTAAAACACTTTCCCTCCCATGGAAAGCCAATCGCTGACGATAAGAAGCTACCTCTTTTCACGACAGGAAGCTGATTGGTGACAGTGTAACATAGCAACAACAATGTTGTACGAGTGATCTCCTTTTAGACATGTGCACTTGTTACATTTATAATGTCCTTTCTAAATGGTTTGTGTGGCCTTTGAGCATAAAAATCTGTTTGTTCACAACAATTGGAGCTATATCTTTTTGAAAATGTCAAGTAGACCTGGCAAGAGTTGTGCTTTACATGATGAGGATTCAGGTGATGAACGTGCTAGATCTAATAATTTCAGTTCTGATTCTGATTCCTATTTTGACGAAAACGCGATTGCAACATTAGATTTTTCTTAATGTGCTGAAAATTTCACCATAATTGAGGTGTTATTTGCTAAGATACAGGTAGAGTACTGGTGATCCTCATTGCTTCCTGATACGACGGGACAAAGGTTTTGCCCTCTGCATGTTGTGGGGGTGAAAAGTGTTACAAAGCTCACCGACGTAGAGCCTATCCTGAAGTTTCCACAGCGCAAAGCAAATCAGATGATAAAGACCACTCTCTGGAGGACTCCAGCCAATCATAGATTCACCATAAAACAAGATTCTGTCACTCCATTTCCCCACCGATAAATTATTGTGCACCAGCATCATTTCCAAGGACACTTGGTCAGACCCCACAGTTATGAATCATACAGCCTAATGATGTAGGCTATGATATATATAGGAACAAGACTTTGAGTATCATTGTTGAGCAATTACTTGAATGGAATTTACCATTCGTGGTCAACTTCATAGGTTATGAAAAGGCATTTGACAGTGTGGACAGGGAATCTGTGTGGAAATTCATGCGGCATTATGGAATACCTGATAAAAGCATCAAGCTTGTGAAGGCCACCTATGATGGAACAAACTGCCAAGTCTTCCACGAAGGACAACTCTCAGAACCATTCCAGGTACAGACAGGAGTGCGACAAGGATGCTTACTCTCATCATTTCTCTTCATACTGGCAATTGACTGGGTCATGAAAGAAGCCACCAGAGGTAAACACAAAGGAATACAGTGGATCCGTTGGCAGCAGCTGGACGACTTGGACTTCGCTAATCACTTTGCACTTGTCACTCACACACATGCTCAGATGCAAGGAGTGTCGGCCTACATATACATCAGGGCAAGTCGAAAGCAATGAAGCAAGGAAAAGTTTCAAGTCCTGCTATGGCAGTGGAAGACACTCCCCTGGAAGAAGTGGACTCCTTTACCTACCTTGGAAGTGTCATCGATGGTAAAGGTGGACCGAAGCAGATGTAAAAGCAAAAACCGCCAAGGCAAGGGCAGCATTTAATCAATTTATCAAAAGTCTGGAAAGCAAGCAACATCTCTCTGCGCACCAAGATTCAACTCTTTAACTCCACTGTCAAGTCTGTGCTCCTCTACAGCTGCGAAACTAGGAAGACAACAAAGACAGTGCTGAATAACGTCCAGACTTTCATCAACAGATGTGTGAGGAGTATCCTAAGAATTCAGTGGCAGAGAGAATAAGAAATGAAAAGCTGTGGGAAAGGACAGGACAAAAGGAAATAGAAGTAGAAATAGGACTAAAAAAGTGGCGATGGATGGGACACACCTTCAGAAAGCCCAGCAGAAACATCACAAGACAGTCATTGCAGTGGAACCCACAGGGAGCACGAGGCAGGGGTAGGCCACGGGAAACATGGAGGAGATGTGTGGAAAGGGACATGAGAGAGATGAAGCTCACTTGGAACGAGCTTGGAAGGATGGCCCAGGACAGAGATAAATGGAACGAGCTTGTATGTGGCCTATACCCTGCCAGGGGAGGAAGGCATTGATGATGATGATGAATTATTAATCACATGCTTGTTATGTTTCATATTATGAGAATGCATTATGTCCAACTTTCATTCTTCCCCCCCCCCCCCCCCCCCCCATGCATCTCAAAATGCAAGTTATGATGCACATATATTTAGATATGTTTAAATGATCTACTGACCCCATGCCAAAAAAAAAAGCGTGCAAACCTAAACGTTTTATTTATTTTTTTACTTTTAGTTTTAGTAGGTTTTACAGCGCTCGCAACTGCATAAGGTCATATGAACGTTAAGGGGTGGGTGTCAACAGAGAAGTCTTTACGGGAGTCAGACTTAGACTGCTCACCTCTCTAGCTTCAACAGCACAAGGTCTGCTTCGACTATCAAGGCACCCCAAAATAGCAGGTCACAAGAGAGTGACAAACATACAAAAGAAGTAGAGGAAAATGACAATAGTAAGGATCAGGAAAGAAAAAGCAGCAGTTCCCTGTTGTAGATCAGGCACAGTTATGAGCGTGACATGAGTCAGCCCATTTACAATTCTATGCTTGAACGAGAAATGTCCCCCCCCCTTTGGGAATGGCCTAAAGACACTTCGGTCAGTGGCACCGCTCCAGGGGGTAGAAGGGGAGATAAGGACAATAGATGTTTCATAGGAAAGAAGAAGCAAACCACACCAGAGCACCCGTCAACCACCCACAAAGCATATTATATATTTTGACAAAATGTCAAACGTGGCTAAGCAGACTTGATACACAAAATTTTCTGTTTACTTGCCAGAGACAGAATGAGACAAGTTAAGCTACAAAAAATGTATTCATCCTCATAATCAGTGCTTCCACCAGCTGAAGCTGAAAGGTAAGGAAAATTTTGTCGGGGGTCACCAGCAGGGTCCAGGGACAGCGTCCCGGTGGGGGTTCAGAGGGCGAATCCCTTGAAGAAATTGAAATTTAGTGCCTTTAGAGGGTTGAAAATGGCATCTGGGAGCCTGTTTGAAGAGATTGCCAACAACCCATACTACCTATTTTTTCACCAAGATTTTGTCTTGTTTGATTTCTTCATCTAGATCTACATATCTCTCCATTGCTGGCAAAGTTTTAAAAGCAGGTTCCCCTTCCATCGTTACTGTAATTCTATTAATCTGTCATCGCTCCATTGATAAAAGACAAACCTGGGAATAATGAATAGATATGTACCTTCACAATACAGTTACCAAGCGTATACCCTAATTTTCACGTCTGAATGTCGCATGTCACAACCTCGGAACACCACTTCGAATTATCCTTGATTTTAGTAGTTTTAGCACAAATTTCTTTCACCGCGGCCCTTATCGCGTTCCCGTGCCGTAGAATCTTCGCACTGATAATTTCTCTAGATCTAGATAATAAATTTGCAAAAAAGTTTCTTTCTGACAGTAATTTTCTGTCTAAGATCACAAGTCAATAAACTTGTTCCATGTGCAGATTTTCCAGCTGCGGCAACAATCCCCGGAAGAGATAGACAGACGGAATGAGGGAATGATAGAAAGGAGTAAAGTGATACAAAAAGTTCGCCAGATTTTGATCAATCTGCAGGTAAAAAATGTACTGCCGACCAACCTGCAATGAATGCAAGGGGCATAACGGAATAATGGCCGATGGCAGGGAATGCGCAATCTGGCAGGTTTCTATAACATTAACTTATTGCCGAGAGAATTACCGTAAATATCCGTAACCAACCGTAGCTTACAAGATGATACGAAGGCGAGTACGGATCTTTTGCTATGGAATTTCAGTAGTCCTGCGCTGTCGCAGATTTTTACGGAGGGAGTTGATAATGATGGAAGAACACGTACGGAACGGGCAGAAAATACGGATTTCCGTAAAAACATCGAAGAGTGGAAGCACTGATAATGTCTGTAATTAGGTGAACACCCACACAAACAATCAATAACACCCTTGCAAACAGTGCATTTCAACAGGGCTGCCTACCTCAAAATTCCCATTTCAGGTAAATCCAGGGTCAGTTTCAGGTATTTTGGCCCAAAAGAAGGGAAAAAAAAGAAGATTGTTGCCTCGGTACACATAGTTACCACTGAGTAGGGCTTGCGTTTCGAGATATTGGGTACTTATATATTTTTTTTAAAAATTGGGTGTGCATGCACATGTGTGTGTGTGTGTGCCTGTGCGCATGTGTGTGTATGCGAGCACACGCCCCCAAGGGCCTTTATGTATGTAGAAGTGGGTTGGTGTGCTTAAGTTAATGTGAGCAGTGTTTATGAAAAAAGGCCATTTTTTTCTCGTCTGCTTAAGGCATTTATGGATGTCGTTCAAGGAACCTACCAATCAATATTGAATGTGGAATTGAGTGCAGAGTGACTGCCAAACTGACATCAAAACCCCAGGCCCTATAACAATAGAAACTATATAAAAAAAACATATTTTCTGACAATAGCATAGGGCACTGATATGTTCAGTGTGACTTAGATATGACAGACAAGTTGAACAAGTTTTGTACGAAAAAAAAAAAAAATGAATCCTGAAGTAGGCTGGTAGAACACCAATTGTCAAAACCATGTTTGGGTTTCAGCATTCACAGATTTTGAAGAATTTGAAGTCGAACAGAATCATTCTCGAGAGAATCAAGTCTGCAACGGACCCAAGACTTCGGAATGAACAGGCTGGATTTCGGAAAAACCGGTCAACCATGGACCAGATTGCTGCACTGAGGATCATAGTGGAACAGTTCCTGGAGTGGAACTCCCAGTTGATCGTCAACTTTCTTGACCATGAGACGGCCTTTGATAGTTTAGACAAAGCAACACTGTGGAAGATAATGAGACATCACGGAATCTCACAGAAGTTTGTTAACCTCATAAGGAGCATGTACGAAGGGACAAGTTGCAGGGTTATACTCATACATGATGGCCAGCTCACTGACAGCTTTGACATAAAAACCAGTGTGAGACAGGGATGTTTACTATCACCTTTCCTCTTTATCTTGGCAATCAACTGGCTGATGAAGGAAACCACCAGACGACACAGAAATGGCATAGGGTGGACCTTATGGACACAGTTGGACAATCTTGACTTTGATGATGATTTGGCGCTTCTGTCACACACACAGGAACAGATGCAAGCAAAGACAACAATTTTAAACAGCCTATCAGAGTCTGTTGGATTGAGGATCCACCCCGGCAAGTCAAAAGTCCTAAGGATAGATGCACTACGAAAGGAGTAGGTTGAGTCCTTCTGCTATCTTGGGAGTATAATTGACAGAGAGGGAGGGACAGGCGCTGAAATAAAGTCACGCATTGGAAAGGCACAGACTGCATTTATTTCTTTGAACAGGATTTGGAGGACCAGGGATATCTCACTACGAACAAAGCTGAGGATTTTCAACTCAAATGTGAAGTCAGTCTTGTGGTACGGATGTGAGACATGGAACACATCTCAGACGTGCATAAAGAGGATCCAGGTTTTCTTGAACAACTGCCTGAGGAAGCTACAGAGGATCAAATGGACGGACAGGGTCACCAACGAGGAAGTACTAAGAAGAATGAGGTGGGAAGAAGGCGTTCGCGATGGACAGGACACACTTTAAGGAAGTCAAGCCGCTGCATAACAAGGGAAGTGTTAGATTGGAACCCACGGGGTAAAAGATCAAGGGGAAGACCACGTGGAACCAGGAGAAGAGTCACGGACATGGATGTACACAAAAGTGGGAAGACAAGGAGTGAGACATCAAGCGACTAGCCCAGGATAGGGAAAGGTGGAAAGTGTTACCACTCTTAATCAGTAATAAGCTACCGTGATGCATAGGCATGTAACATAGGGGTGCTATGCCACACAGCGCTCTGATCATGAAAATTAGTTTCGAGATTTTATCCCCCACTATCGCGTCAACAGTTCAAGTTCAACAAATGCATCTAAAAAAGATGTTTTCTTTTTTTCTCCAGCATAGACACCCCCCAGCAATTGAAATGGGTTGAAAATGAAATTTCTCCATAGCCACTATGTTCGTCATTGCACCATTGACAGCAGGCAAATCCGAGAACAACAATCTTGACGATACAATCACCAAGCTTGTACTCTAATGTTCCTTCACTTACGCACTCGATTGTCGAATGTTAAAACCTCAGAACACCACTTCCACTTATTCTTTAAAAAATTTTTGCATCAGTTTCTTGCACCGCAGCCTTATCCTGTTGCCGTAGAATCCTCATGTCATAATGGTACTGACAGACTTGCCACTCTCTGAAATCTAAAAATCACAATCTCAGGGGGGAGAATTGGGATTTGGTTAAATAAAATCGGAATCAACGACAAATCTCCAAGGGTAACTTCAAAGAGGCTTTAACATTTTCCACCGGCGTCCATAAATAAATCCACACGTAACTGCATGCCCTCTCTCTCTCTCTCTCTCTCTGTTTTATCATTATTATTTTTTTAATCCTGGAGTTTTCACGTCAAGCACTCAAAGTCCTAGTGTCTAAACCCCCCCCCCCCCCCCTCCCTGATAAGTCCCGAAAGACGCTTCAATCATCAACCAGAGGGCATCAAGTTTAGTTGACCCCGTCAACGGATTGTCCCCGACACACGCGCAACTCACACGCCGAAGTCATGTCACGTGAATGAAACAGCTTTACTGACAAGTCTTAATGACGGGCACGACTAAACAGAACTCGAACAGAGCTTGTTTTGGAATTAACAGCAGAACTTCAAATAATATTGATCATTTGTTTGTCGCAATTGAAACAGTTATCCTAGCAGTTTCTAATACAACTTATTTCCGATAGTTACTGTAAATATCCGAGAAGTTACAGAGGCAAGTGCTGATCTATTGCTGCGGAATGCCGATAAGCCAATACCGTCTCTCCCTTTTTCTTTAACCCATGGGGTTAATATGGTGATGTACGAAACTTTCGGAATGTACGGATCTCCACAAAAACAGGGAAGATTGGAAGCACTGCAGAATGGGCTTTTTCCCCCCTACTCTTGGCGCCAATCGCAAATTCGTTAGTTTTGACACCTTTACTGGCATGGCTGTAGAACAGGCCAAAAATCGGTAACTACCGGAAAAATCGGTAGATTTACACAGCCCCGTTTCAAGGACAATGCTTTTATATTCTACTCCAGTGCTCCCAAACTTTTTGCACCTAAGATTCAGGTCTCTTTTGTTTTGTTTTTTTTTTGTTCCAAAGAAACTGACCCCTGCATGACAATATTACCTCGTAACAAAGTTTAAAAACCAAATTTCTGGCAAATCTGATACCCCTTCCTTAGTATTGTCTGAGCCCCTTGGAAGTGAGACCAAACTGGGAACCACTGTTCAGCATAAATTAGAATAATCACAAACACAGGCTATATGTACTGAACAACAGACAATGCACAACACAAACCATATGGGTTGTGCAAGCGCAACAGGCGCCAAGATTTTAACAACAGACAATGCACAACACATAAACCAAATGGGTTGTGCAAATGCAACAGGTGACAAGATTTTTTAACAACAGACAATGCACAACACACATGAAGTCTGGCCCTTCAGGAAATCGCGGTTGCGGCCGCGTTTTTCGTCGAGTTCCGCAACAAACCCGCAATTTTTTGCAATTTTCGCGATTTCTCGCAAAAATACATCAACGCTTTAATTTTAACATAATTTTTACCTACGTAAATCATGGTATCGGCCCAGCTCAAGCCTACTGAGCGTACTCTAAAAGCTATAACCGGAAATTCAGGCCGGAATGCATCATGTACAACACAAACTGAGACATAGGCTAGGCCGAGAAGGTGGCCTTCTCTGGGCTAGGCCTTTATCTAATGTGTGTAAACGTGTGCGTGTGATAAGAAAGTAGGCGTGTGAGGTGTACGTGAGTGTGTGTGCGTGTGAGTGCGCGCGCGTGAATATTGTTCGTACATGATACATGTGTCTACATACACGGTAACCGGGCACCTAGTCTCAGTATCTACGTACACGGTAACCCACCGGAATGAAAATTAACCAATATTTGTCCTGTGCTGTCACTTGTTGAAATAAAAAAAGAAAGTCATACACGCATCTTGTTGGGCTCGCCATCGTCACCGGTCAGTGAACTTGTGCTTTCGCATCATATTGTGAGTACCGGTTGGGGTCCCCAAAGTTCATTCAAAGTCTATGCGCTACGAAGTATAGGGCTCTGGAATGGGAGAATTATTGATTTTTAAAAAAAAATGTACAGTCGGGGCAGGGCTGGAGTTGAAGCCAACACCGGATGACAAAAACTGAACTTGGAATTCTTAACTGCCCGGTTACCGTGTACGTGACACTGAGACTACGTGCCCGGTTGACGGTTACCGTGTACGTAGGCACTGAGGCTAGGTGTCCGTGTACCGTGTACGTAAACACCCCGTTATGTAAAACACCTTAAGCTGCATCCACACGGGAGTGGGTGCTATAGAAATGATCTAAATCTACATTAGTATATATGTATTACAATTGTTTATAAATGGAAAAAAAAAATTTGCTTTACGGTATTTTACGATTTGACTTAGTCTTAAAACAATACCATGCCGGTTTTAAAAGAGAAAATATCTGAAATAGATCTAAATACAGATTACCGATGTATCGAAGGTTTCAGTTTCAAGAGAAAAATAGAACAGGATCTGGTTTTATTGGAGCATAAGCTTATTTTGTATTTAGAGGTTGTTTCGAAAATCTCTCGTCAATTTTTTAAATTTTTTTATAGACTAAACCTCATACACTTCTAGATTTTTGCATGAACCAAGTACCCGGCATGTACTAAATTTGGTCAAATTTTATGCCTTCATTTAAAAGTTATTACGAAAACCGAGGGTTCCGTTATTTTGTGTCACGCGTTATCATATTATATTTGGTCGATAACTTTATTGTTAACGTACTCGTGTGTTGTTACTAGTAAATGTTGTTAATAACATTTGATGAATTTGTATTGTTTGTCATGATTTTTTAAAAGGCTGTGCTGCTTTTATGCTACCGGTACTCAAAATTGTCATGTTTTTTAAACTAAAAATGTTAAGCCCGTACTAATGCGCCTGGGATGGGAAGGTTGCAATTTTTTGCAATTTTTCTATTTTCAAAAATGCAATTTTCCGCGGGGCCAGAAAAGTACAACTGCACCAGAAGACAAGCATTAAGCAACAGACAACGCACAACACATGACACATAAGCCACATGCATCGTGCAACTGCACCAGATGACAAGCGTTTAGCAACAAACAATGCACAACACATGAAATGCAAACCACATGAATTGCACAAACGCAACACATGACAAAAGTCCTAAGCTAGATAATGCACAAGAAGATCCGAGTCAGGCCACATGCGTAGAGGAACTGAACGCACCGGCCTGAGGACAAACCTCAAGCATGAGGGAGGACAACATGCCCAACTGTTGCCTCAGGATGGCCAGGTCAGCTCGCATTTGGTCGTAAGCCTCAGCCGGCATCACCACGCACTCCTCACCGTCCAGAAGCATGCGACGTGCCAAGGGAGAGCACAACTCTTCGCTGCTCTCCACCAGTTGTCTAAAGGACAAAAAAGAAATTCAATCACACAAATCAGCAGGAAACTATGTTGGTTTGTCTAAAACTAACACCTCAAAACTCCATATTCTCTTACATTGCACTCTTTTAATTCTTTTCCTACTAGGCCAAAATCCATCACTGGCCCAGGGCTTTTCCTTGACCTATTTTTACGCCCCTACCCCACCAAAGGAAAATGTCAAAACATCCAACTAAACACACTCAAACCATATCATATGGCCCATCAAACTGAAGGTTAAAAAATAATCTATCATAGGTGTCATATGAAATCAACAATTTTCCAGCTTTGAAAGGTCATATCTAAAAAAGTACAACAACAGCATCATTCAAACTTCACAGGTAGATTGCAAGTAGTAATGTAAACAAATGCTGAAAGTTATGTATGTGTACCTATTATAGGAGTGAAAATATGAGACATATACTGAATTCAGGGGAGCACTTTTCTTTTCATTTTTACGTTTCGGTGGGGACAGAAAATAGCGCTGAAATGACAAAAGATCGTCTCTAAGTCATGTTATATTTTCTTTCATATCCGCTAACAGGTAGTCTATTCTTTCGAAAACGTGGATCAGCCGAGAATTTCATGTCTTTTCATTACTGGATTGGACTAGACAGCGAGCCACTCGAGCCGCATTTTGCAGCTCTCGGTCCAGCGAAGCCACGTTCGCGAGCGGCATAATGCTGCTCGCAGTAGGCAAAGAGTTAAAGATGTCCAAGTTGTCTTCGAGGCAAAATGAAAGATATTCAAAAATGCTACAGACACATTACCAACTTTTTTTTTTTTTACAAAATTACTTACAAAGTCATGGGAAATAAGGCAATAACTCAATTTAATGAGAAACAAGTTCATTTAAATGAATAATAATTTTTTTAACAGCACTACTATCTTGATCAAAAAGGAAAGATCCTGAAATAAATATACACAGAATGGCACACATTGTTACCATTCACAAGGAGACTGATACTTTTAAAAGACAATTTCCTTAAATGTAACTGACTATTACCTGTCTTTTGTAGGAAACTAAGAAAAGTGTGTTTCAAAATTGAAACTAGTCTTCCTGTAAAACATTTGTTAAAAATGGCAAAAAGTTTTCCAAATAAAAAGAGATGAAGCACTGGACAAGTTAACACACTTTCAGATACTCACCTGATGCTACTGTAGGAAAGAGATGTAACACGACTGAGGCTGTCTAAATCTGCACTGTCAAGGTCGTCGTCTGTGGGTCCATCCAGGGCTTCACTACTACTGTCACTTAGTATCAACCCACGACTGCCAAGAGAGGCGGAACGCTTGTGTGAATCTGGAATACAACAACATAATGAGCAGATTTAAAAAAAATTTCTTTTAAATCAGTTCTAAAGCAAACTAGAGCACCATAATGGACATCAATCAAGTCTAATTGAGTAATTCTAGACTTTCTCTTTTTATATGTGGTGCTTGGAAGACACTTTCTTCTTTAACCACACACCCATTATTTCCTCAATGCCATGAAACCGACTGAAAGGGATCAAACTTTTGTTTTTACAAGCAGTCTGTTAAAAAAACACACACCGAAAACAAGCAAAACTGCATAGTAGGTGCAAAGAACACTTAACTCCAAAATAAGTAATATTTCCATAGTCTATTATTGAGCAATCAAACAGCTTTGAGTATCACAATCCACAATTGCACTGATTAAAGATAAAAAGCTTATGCTATTTAAATCATAGCCCCTCATCGATCAAACGGTTTCTACAATGCATAAATCACTGTTTTTAAAGGTATCCAAACTGGATGGGACATTAACGATAAATTTACCTTTAAAGGCACTTGCAAGGTAGGATTCTGAAGCACTATGATTTGTGAACACCCCAGAAGAGGTGTCTGAGACACTGGACTCAGGAAGGCCATTGGGCAACATTGCTTTTCCTTTAGACAATGGCTTGGACGGAGAAAAGAATTTGGAGCTGAGCTGGCTTTCTGATTCTGTTGCAAACGAAACGTTTTTGGGTAGACTTGCACATTTCTTATAAGCGGCATCTCCCCTTGAGGGTGACTCTGTACAGAGCCCGTTGTGTAAAGGAGAGCTTTGTTGAGAATCTTTTGCATCATTAGCCAGATTACCAGCGCTACCCCCATTGCTCTGTGAACACATGTTTTTCCCATTAACAGTATCGGAAAACGGGTCACCACAGGACTCTCCATTCTCCGAAGTCAGAAATCTCCTGTCAGCAGTATCCCCATTACTGTGGACACCGTTTGTACAGCAGTACTCATTAGAGTAGAAGTCACATTTACAAATGGAGTCTGTGATGTCGAGAATTTCAGTGAGAAGACTCCTGCTACTTGCTCCAAGTCCTTTAGAACGAAGTGACGACCTGCTCAGTAGCACATTGTCCGAAGACTCGCCCTGAGCCAAAGGAGCTTTTTCTTCTGAGGGACTACGACTCCCGTCCCGAACAAGCACAGCAGCGAGAGCCTCTTCTAAGCTCTCAGTTGATCTCACAGAGATTCGAACACTGCGGTCTCTGGCACTTGTGCTCCCAGAAGTCTTGAGGCTGGACTTCAGAGGTGCAGCATCAAGGGAAGCAGTGGAAGCAAATTCAAACAGGACACGCTGAGGGGAAGAAGGGCTGGACACAGACTCTGATGGACTTCTCTTACTTCTGTACAGGCCATGAGTCTGGCACTGTGGGTTCACTGTGGGTTTGCCAGCTTGACGTGGGCCACACAAACAGTACGTGTCCGCCAGCAAAGCTGTGAGAGCAGAGTCATCCAATTTGAAATTCCCGCATTTGTGACAGGAACCCCTACTCAAACGCTCCAACCGCTTAGCCAAGCTTGACTGCCCTCGACTGACACCATCTGTCTGGCGGAGGATGTTCTCCTCAACCAGAGTCCCAAGACTTTCAATGCCACTGTCTGAAGGAGCCACTCCCTGTTCACCCACATGAAGACTTGGCTCCACTTCCTTTGTAGAAGCAACATCAGGGGGGGTAAGCACACAAGGCATTTTCTCTACCTGAGGGCTTGATGCAGAAACAACACTCTCATCTATTTGCCCACTCACAACAGGCTCCTCAGTGTTTGGAACAACATCATACTCCTTCAATCTTTTCTTTTCTCGTTTGGAGTCTCTCTTTCTTGGCCGAAGAGCTGGATCTCCATGTCTTGAAGCAGCATCTGCAACATTTCTGGAATAGCATGTCCCCATTTCACGTCTGCGAAAAAACCTGAAACAAAAAAAACCAGAGAGACGAAATGTTAATGTAATTATGAACAAAAGAGTCTTCCATGCCAGGAGATAAAATGTGTCACAACATGGTATAATCAGGTGCTGATCAGTTTTTGGGCATATAGCTATTGGTATCATCTTAAAATTCTTCCTTTGTTTTGCTTTTGGGAGGGGGGGGGGGGGGATACAGAACAGGAAGCAAAATATAATAGCGCATATCAAAAGTTGTTGTTGGTATCTGTACTATAGGCAATAATACAGAACACGGCCCCATGCAACATGACTATAATTCAAAATCACTCTTGACATTAGATTATGACATCATTCAATTCTCGAGGGAACAATTTGATATACCATGTAGGCCTACAGATGTTGCAAGGTACAAATGCCATCAGGTCTCACTCAAACTTAAAACTGCAAACAGGGGGGGGGGCTCTCGTGGCCTAGAGGTAAAGGTGTTGGCCTCCCATTCAAAGGTCCCCGGTTCAAACCCGGGTAGAGACTGAAAAAATTTAATTTTCTTCTCTAAAATGGTCTCCTTTCACCTCCTTTCCTGCTCTCTAGCAATGTTCTGTCTTCTGCTTTCATTTCCACTTCAGGCCCCCACCCCTTCATCTCCTTTGCTCCCTCCTCTGGGCTCCTGACTCTTTCTGCAGCCTTTCTACTGCTACTCCTTGGCTCCTTCTTACTGCTGTCGTTCAGCCACACCCCTGATCTTCTGGTAGGAAAGATCTACACCTAGCTTTTTCGGACAAGGGTGAAAGATCTCGGAGAGCCCGTGAGCAATTTGCACATGTTAAAGATCCCTTGGTGGTCTAAAATCTAGCATCTGCGTTTGTCGCGGCCACGATTTTCCAACAAAAAACCACCGCCAGAAAGAGAAAATTATTTAAAAACAACAACAATAAAAACTGGGAATAATATTTGTGAAAAAAAAGAAGAAACCAAACCTCTTTGCTTTTAGAAAGTTTATTTTCACTTTCGCTTCACTTCGTCTCTTTCTCACTTGTTAACACTACATTGATTTGTTATTTTCATGTGAAGAATATAAGTAGGCTACATTACATACTATTTATATTGCTATTTCTCTTTCATGTTTCCCTCTTTGTTGTGTTTTATTTTGTTGGTGTGTTAATTCTTTTTCTCGCTATTGTTCTGATGTGTTGTTTTTCCATTTTGTGTGTGTGTGTTCATATAGCGTAATGTTTTTCCTATCTTTTAAAAAAAATGCGTTATAGTTATGTTACAGCATGTCTCCGCCAAAAAGGAATACTGACACAGGCAGGCCCTTTGTGTGTGATTCCATGATCTACATGTTAGATCCTGTACTTTTTCTTGAATTACACGCGTTTAGGGTTAAAACGGCCAGTCTATGGATGGGTTGACACACTCCCTTACTGTTAATTTTTGTGGCTGTTTATCTGTGGTTCTAATGTTGATTTCATTCTCTTGTGAAACCTTATTTTTCATGTTTTTACACTGTGTGTGGGTGGTTGGCGGGTGCTCTGGTGTGGTTTGCTGCTTCTTTCCTATGAAACATCTATCTTCCTTATCGCCCCTTCTTCTTTTTGTTACTCTCTTGTAACACCTCTAATCTTCTGGTGCTCATATATATGACCTTATGCAGTTGCAGGCACCGTAAAACCTCTACTAAAACTAAACACTATGTGTGGCTGCAAATGATATTCTGGATGCTTAAAACAGAGCACAATAAATTCTGGTGTTTTAGATGAAGTTATCTCTATCAGCATATTGCTATTTATACGTCGCCACAGAGAGTTGAAAGCTTGAATATTAATGGCAACTTTTTTGGCAACTTTTGGACAAAAAAATGGCAACAAACGCAGATGCTAGTAAAATCAATAAGAGTAGGATTCTGCCGCCACCAGGGCAAAATTCAAAATTTCCTACCAACTGAAAAAGTTTAATGTGTCCCGCGCCATCGTATGACTGTACGCAGCTGCGAGCGCCTCAAAACACTTACTACCCCCCCCCCCTTCCCAATAAAAACATAAACAAATATTTTTTAAATTCAAGATCTTCATGTGCATCTCTTTGGAGTAAATCAGTATTACTGTTATTGACACTGTGCTTGCAGCATCACAGTCACATCAATCAGCCCTCATTTTCCTTTTTCTTCCTGAGGTATATATCTCTTTTCAAAACTAATCAAGATCAGATCTATTGTCAGACTCTGGTTGGCAACAGCCAGAACATAATAATATGGAGGTTAGGTAGCTCAGTAGACATGATGTTTGCCTGGCAACCCAGAGGTCTGAAATTCGATCCCTGCCAGCATTGGGTTTTTTTTCTCCTCATATTTTCTGCACCCATGATCAAAGGTAGGTAGAATTGAGCACCTAGTCTTCTCAAGCATCTAGTCTTCTCTGATAAATTTTGGAGGCCTCTGTGGAAGTTCTGCATGTTGAAAGACCTAGTTCTAAAACTAAAAAAAAAGAAGAACAGTAGGCCCTTCGTCTCGATATCTGGGCAAAATTCTAAACTATTTATCAAAACCCAAAACAGAAACCACTTTAGTGAGTCTAGTCAGTACAAATATTAGACCTATTCCCTGTTTGTTGCTGCAAGTCATGTTGAGAATAAGAAAACATTAGCATTTTCATAACAAGGGCAGTTTTCAAGCTGCAATCATGTATTACCCATCAAAATGTTCAGAAAAAGAAAGAAGACTAGAATTACGATACATTACAGGCAAGAAAATATTTACGAGAGGGGGGGGGGGGGGGGTCAAAAAGTAGTGCAAGTTGTTCGGTATTTTGCACAATTATGCATCAAATTTAATGAAATTCAGCTTACAAGTACTTTCTCATACACTTTTGAACTCAAATTGTTAAAATCTATGTATCTTTAATAATTTTGGCCTGAATTATGTAACATCAAAATGGCTACCCTCTTAGAGGTCTGTTTGAGGTAAAGAGCAGTGATTGAATTTCTTGTTCTAGAAGGAAAATCCACCAATAGCATCCAAAAGAGTCAAAACATTTACAAGAACCACGCTCTAGATTTTGGCACTGTATATGTATATATATATATATATATATAGGTGGGTCAGACATTTGAACAATGAACCGGAAGAATAGGAAGAAGTGTCCCCATATGCTTGCCAGACAAGCATCGTCCCGAGGAGTCAGCCGGAAAAATCATAGTAATTGTGTTTTGGGACGTTCATAGCATGCTTCTCACAGATTTTATTTTTACCACAAGGAGCAACTATCAATTTTTAACCCTACATTGAAACATTGTAACGACTGAAAGCGAGAATTCCACGAGTCAGACCAAATTTGAACATGGAAAGAGTGTTTTTTTACCATGACAACGCCTGCCTGCATTCGAGTACTTGAAAAAAGGAGACAATCACCCTGTTTATGTGGAAAACACTGCCCTACCCATTTTATTCTCCTGATTTGGCTCCTTTAGACTAATAAATCCAGTTATGTAATTGCATACGTTGTTTATAGAAAATAAGATTGTCTCTGTGTATATCCATTGTTGGACAGTGTCCTATTGTGTGGTAGATTAAGATGCGTTCAGATAATATAGTTTACAAGTCATGGGAATATTTCGCTTGTGTAGGCTACAACTCATACAATAAACGTAACATATTTACACCCCCGCCCTTCTCTCTCTCTCTCTCTCTCACGTGCGCGCACTCATGCACGCACGCGTGAACGATAACAATGTATTAACGGGACTATCTTCCCAGACTGGACTAAATATAAGTACCATACTCTTTAATAACAATCTTAATGCCTCACTTTTCCAAACAGAGCACACAGGACGAGTCCAAGTGTGTGCTTTCCCAAAAGGGGGAAATAGGCTTTCATAATGCAAACACAATGCCATACTACTTTTCAAGATGTTTGCTTTTCTGTTTCTATTCTTCTGTCATGCAATCAAGCAAATAAAAATGATTACATCTATTGTATTGTGACTAAAATGCAACAAAAACGCAAGTTATCAAGGCCCCCGTTTAGTTTTCAAGTATTCTTCCCCCCCTTTCCGGTTCACAAGCGGGGCCTCGTTTGTAGCGCCCGAGGCGACCGATGGCTGATGATGTCACTCAGTGGAAATTTCCCAGCCGCCGGTCGTTCACCCAGCACGCGCAAATGGCAATGCCGCTTTTTCCCTTAGTTACTCTCACATTTTTAAAGATTACGCGAAAACCGCTAAACACAGAAGCTTGAAATTTTAAGGGAATAAAGAAAAATGGTGTACAACGTATCAGTCAGTTTGACAAATCACAGCTCCGAAAAATCTTCAAAGCGCACCACATCAACCACTTTCGCAAACGTTTTCGACTGCTTCTAGGATGGGTACAATGTTGTCAAACTGTATACTATGAGATTGACCTCTTTTCTGATTGGCTGCCAAGTTTCATTCATATCCATTCGCGAGAAGCGGCATGAGAGCGAGTTGAAGACAACAACCTTTGCGTTAGTGCGTCCCACAAAACACCCCAGCTGCGGGGGCCAAAAATCGGCAGAATAAAACGCGCTCGGTGGGCATTGCTAAAAATATGCTGCCACCAATCCAATGAAACGCGAACACTTAGGCCGTTTTCACATGGCCTGCACCCACAAACACTTTACTTAGCAGAGAGCTGTAGTAGTTATCAAAATTCTAAACATTAAACGTATTTGCTTCCAGTTTCAGTTTTTTTTGTCCACTGGTGTTGCGTCCAGCCCTCCCCCTGTCCCCGAATGCGTCTTTAAAAAAAAATCAATAATCATTCCCCCCCCCCCCCCCACCTCCCCCATTCCTGAGTCCTGTACTTCGCAGGGCTCAGAACGCGCGCAGGTTCATTGACCGGCCACAATGGCGAGCCCGACAAGACGCTTGTATAACTTTCTTTTCTTCATGTTGCTCCTATAAGTGACGACACAGAGACAAATATGTTAGACTATTAGATTGCTTTTATCAATATACAGAAGGGAAACAATAAATCCTGGATTGTTGGTCCCTATATTAACATGTTGA